GGGGGGGGGGGGGTAGGGTCTGGACGCCGTGGTGGTCAAACTAGGGCAGTCAGTTCTTGCTCTAGTGTGCTTTGCGGCCGGCACTTGCCTGTATGCGTCAGTCAAAGTTTTCTTCCATTCTGCTGTCCATGAAGCATACGTGTGTTTGTATCTTGCTACGCATATGCGTCACAGCTCGCCGCACCGGACGTCACGTGAGGCCAAGATTAGCATTAAGAAGGATCGAAATGAAGCCGACTTGACTCTTGGCAACATTTTAGGCCATCACCCTGCGATGAAAGCATGCTTCCTTCTCGGACCTCATCTCCCCCTGCGATATACATGAAAACGTGACAAACCGTGATGACAGTCAAGCTGGCGGGGGCAATTGGGGCCAATCGGACGCGATCGTGGTGAAAGCAAGGAACCAGGTCGTCGTGGAGGAGACGGAGCGTGCCCTTGCAGAGGGGTGCCGCAAAATCATGGTTCTGTATGGCGGGTTGCATATGCAGGTGAGACGAGATGGGTACGGTACGTACTTGTGGATTCTGTTGAATGTATGACGCTGGGCACCGAGATTTTCATGCAGCACAAACTATTTTAGTTCGACGGTGATACTGCTGTTTCACGAAAAATGCAAGTCTCGAGCTTATCGTGCGTTTTTTTTTTGTGTGTTGCCTCATGTATTTGAGTTCTGTGCTCGATATTGCACGGGGTTCCTTCCACGAAGACCGCGAGGCCTTCGTGATGAGCGACCAGCGTAATGAAACTTAGCTGCAATCAGAATGTCAGAGTTGCCTTGGCTTCGTCCATGTATTACTGTCGCCGGCGCTGAACATACTCTTGAGAATCAATTCTCGTCAATACTTTGGGTCGAACAAATTTATGCTAACGTACCTACTCTTGTTTATCTCGTTCGATTCCCTGCATGCACGTTTTTGCAACTACATGCTGCTGGCGTTTACTTTTTATGTCTTGTGTTTTTTGTTTGACAGGATTTGACCTCTCAGCTGTGCAAGCAGTTGGACGCTACCCAGGATATCACTGGCTGGAGGACCGCGTGGGTAGTGCCGACAAGAGCGAGGCAGAAAGCAAATGCCGCAACTTCACCAGTACCGCCACGCATGGCCTCAGCAGGTAGGTGCGGGTGCTGCGGAAGCTGACGGCTTTCTCTTGCTCTATTGCTCGTGTTTTCCCGAAGATACCTCACCCCGACCTCTTGTAAAGAATCCAGCGACGGTGATATGGCAGCTTCTGTAAGTTCTTCCAGCGCTCGACCATTGGTTTGTCCAAGCCAAGCATTGCTCTTCGTCTCCGCCGAAACTTGGTTAGTTTCTTGTCGAGCTGATGAGACAACAGCAGTGGTACGCCGCTGAGTACTACAAAAACTCTGCAGCACCCCGCTCTTGCTCGACATGTCTGACCGACAGCACCAAGTCCGCACTCTGACCCTCTGATCTTAAAACCAACGTTGTGGTCTCTTGCGCATGTTCGTCTTTAGATGCAGCGGCAGGAAGGCTTGAGCAAGGGCAAGGGCAAGGGCAAGTCGGGATGCTCGGAGACGAGACGAACGCCGACGGCATGGCTCGGTGGGGTCCGTTGGGTGTGGCAGCACTGGCCTACGTTGCCGTAGGAGCGTGGGATTGGACCGATACCGTCGAGGCTCTAGCGAGGTTCGTGATCAACACGGCGGAAGCCTCGGGCTGGCCTACCACCACAGGGATCACGATTCTTCTTTTTCCTTTCTCTGGGAGCTTCATGACGTTGGGATGCACCCTCTAGACTCTTACAGTGGATAATTTTAGTGTGGACGCTCTTCGAGATCTCGAAGGAGACTCAAGCAACACTACTATCGTACACGCGACGTCCTGGCGCTTGTCTTCTTTCCCTTGTGTTTCATGCGAATCGCTAATCCCACTGGCTGTCGGTCGTGCCATTAAAAAAATTCTAAACCAACACCTCAAACGCAACTAACCTACGCCTTGTCACGTACCATCTGATCTCCTTCGACCCTCGAACGAATGACGACCACGTGATGACGTCATGTCGTGACGTCATGGCAGGGAGCTGGAGACCGGCGGACCTCCCTTGGAAGCTTTCGGATCGGCGTTGCTGGTGTTCACGCTGTACGTGGCTCGGCACGCCTATCTTTACTACGGACTAGCTCGGTGGCTCGTTCAGTGGGAGAAAAAACTGTTCTGACGGAAGCGGTTTTCTTTTTGGTGTTGCGGGTCGCGAAGCAGGATATGTTGATTCTTCTATAACGTTTTCCTCGCACGGGGTGTGTAATGTACGTAAGCATATGTGCAGGCACGGCGGTTCTACGCTACCTGCTGAATGGTCTGGGATTGTTGATAGGGACAAGCTTGGAGGCAATTGTACTGTTTGCGTGCCGGGTGATGAAGTGACGTTTCGTGGGACATCGCAAGTTTCATGTTTTGATTGGGGGTGTTGGTAGTTTTGTGTGTGGTGGGGGGGCGGCGGCAAGATAGACACGATGATGCGAGATTGTAAATAAATATCAGCCGGACCCAACGTAACCTCCTCACCACAAAGGAAGGGCAATTTCTATCAACAAGTAATTGGCATGGATCTCTTCCGTGCGTTCTATAGGAGCGCCGTCGACAACAGAGCGTTACTCCAGGCTGTTGCTGATTCTTCAGCAAGCAGCTTATAAGGTCGCGCTTCAACTGCGCAACAGCAGCAGCGTGTGCCGGTTGCTGCTGCTGCTGGCGACACAACGTGTTGACACAACATTACAATTGGGTGATACGCGGGGGGACCGGGCGCGACGTGATGTGGTGCGAGTTTAGGGTATTGGGCTGACTGAGGGAGCGCCCAAAGCCCGCTCGAGTTATCCAAGAATGTGTGAAGATCTAGCCATGGCTTTCCTACCCAGCAAGATTGAATTAGTCATTTATAACACTCCGTTTTTGTTCTTAAAAAAACACCACGTAATGAAAGCAGGGGATAGTTGAAAGAAAGAGATTGAAATAAGCCACGGTTGCGCTTCCCAGACCCAGACAGCAACTGTCTATGGCGCCAAGCTACATACCAAATCATCCGCGTACTTTACTCTTACGACCACACACGTTCCCTAATGGCCTGCAGCGTTCAAGCCAGCAATCACCGCATATTTTTTCAACCCGTGTTAGTAGGGCATGGCCATCCCTTTAACCTCCTTTTCCCCCTCTTCTTCTTATCCTCCTCCTGAATCCTTCTTTCTCTACACAAACTACATGACGATTAACGAAAACTAAAAACAAATATCGTTCATAGTTTGCACACACACAGGGTTCACAGTTTGTACAACGCACCTGCAAAAATGGCCGAAAGCCAAAAAAAAAAATACACGGACCTAAGTCGCACTGATGCTCATGCACCGTCTACAGCTTGATAAATACCTTTCGAGCGTACGAGTAGCTTGCGTCTCTTGAAACGAAGCTCACCACAACATTGCACCAAAACACGTAGGGTACGCTAGACCAGACTATTACTATCGGTTCACCTCTTGCTGCTGCGGCGGCGTTAGCGGCCGCACGGGGGTGGATGCAACATCAGAACCGAAAGTCCAACGATCCATGCACCGTTCCCCGAAATCCAATATGCGACCCCCCCCTCGGAATAACGGCACCTGCAGCCACAGCAACAACGCCAGCTCGGCGTGTGCGGCGAGGGGCAGTACTCTTAGAATCCCGCCCAGACACAAAGACAAGTGCCACCAGCTCCCGTAGGCTACCCAGTACGTGAGCCACCGGACCCGGGCACTGTCGGCAGATGTTGCCAGCGCGGCCCAGGCGGTGGAGACAGCCGAGGTATTCGATCTACGACCAAGGGTCTTGGAGAGTGCAACAGTCGGCGCAAGAGAGGGGAGGACGGGGGGGGGGGGGGAAGCAAGTGACGTAACATGGACTCCACCGCGCCTGAGGAGCATGGACTTTTTTGAACCAGTTGTGTACAAAGTACTTTTTGTAGGTCTGGCGAAAGGACAAGGTGGTTTCTAAACCAACACAGCATGGAAACATCTCCAGCGCCCGCGTCAGTTGGATCGGTACAGATGTTATCACGTACTGAGCAGACACCGGGACGGTTTTTAGTGCGAAGACAGCAACAACAGTAGCACAAGAGGTGCTGGTGAAGAAACTAGGCGATACAAACCTACACATGTATATGGAAATTCGCTAGCCCCCAAATATGGGTGGGATTATCGGAAAACGACCGGCAGGCTAGGCCACAAACGGCGACGACACATGATCACCGCCTCTGAAGGCCCTGCCGCCGACATGGTGGGAAGGCAGGCTAAATTCGTGTCAAGACCTTAACGGGCTATCGCTGTTGTGCAAATTCGCGAGCGGCATAGTACGCAGTCAATGGAGTACAGCCGTACAATGCACCCGCTGTACACCAGATGGGCATCCGGCGACACGCATCTATCACCCGTTCCAGCAAATTTACCGCAAGCCAACTTGCACGGCTAGGCTCTGATTGAAATGTACGTCCTCAAACCTACAGACCCTGCTACCCCCGAAAGGGGGCGGTAGCATCACCTTGATGGAGTTGAACGAGGGGATCACTAGTCCAGCGTACAGGCAGGCTAGCTCGGTCATGAAGGAAGGAGTTAAGAAGAAGGCCAGCGCCGGCACCAGCATCCAGCTGTCTGTGATGTTGTCGACAAGCAACTATAAAAACGACGGGGACGGTTGGGCGGACAATCAGCTGACACACCGCGCGAACAGGGGAGGGAGAGCACGGCGCATCAAACACAAGACGACAAACAAAACTCTTCCAATATTTCGGGAATAGTTTGCGGCGGAAACAGGTGTAGTGGGCATGTCGAACACGACTGTGACCAATTCGGAAGAAAAAGCAAGGGTTTCACGCAACCAAACAGGTGAGGTAAAGATTTGCGCGACATTGCAGCTGAATGACATTCAAAGCCACACCTCATATCAACGCACAAGAAGCAACAACACTGCCGCATGATCTAGGAAGGAAGATCCTCTCAAGTTTACATGCAACTGTAACGGCCGAAGGCAAATGGAACTACCAAAGTCCATTCTGCATGCCTGCCATCACCACTTGCTTCTGCATGTCATCACCACTTGCAGGGTCTCACCTCCGCCTTCTCCTCTGTCAGCAGCCGAACGAGTACCAGCAGGTCTTGAACTCTCTTCAGCGTCCCGGTGTAGCCGTTCTGGGGCATGCGCAGGTCCTTCACATACGTGTGAACAAGCGGCTCCAGCCAGGCATACACAACCTGCACACAGCAGTACGGTATGCGAGCTTCACTTGGGCAAGGGATAACTAGCCTACAGGTCCTCACTGCCTCCTTTTCCACAAAGAGCAACGCAACGACTGCAGCACCACACGGCCAATGCCGCCCGCCACACGTGGTCCAATTCTCGTGGGTTTCAACGTCCCGACCGGGTCGTGCAAAACACACCGATAATGCGCTTGGTAGAGCACCGTCAAACTTACGCACCAGAAAGTCTCGGCGTGGCAGGGAGGGGAAATCTGCCACGACAAAACCTATGCGTAGTGCGTGAAAGCAATCCACAGGAACACAACATTGTACGATGAAGTTTTCACCGCTCCCCGCACCTCTCCGGACAAACGGGGGAGATCACGAACGGACAAGAGAGCAAGAAGCCAGGGAAAACGAAAAGCAACCGCCCCCTCTAACGGCCTCTCTTGCGGTGTGTACACACACGACGAAACCTTACCTGCAGCCCGCTACCAGGCCCCGGAAGGTGCATCCACAGCGCCAAGAAAAACGCGACGGTGCGCACGTACGGCGTGAAGAATGTCTCTGGCACGTACGCCGCCAGCAACCCCCAGCACCTCGCCACCGTGAACACAACCCAGTACATCAGCACCCGGTCCACGTCCTGCGGCATCACGCCAGCGCCGCGCGCCAGCCCCGACCTAGCCGGCGTGCCCGCCCCGGGTGTGCCCGCCCTGGGCTTGCCCTCCCGTGGTGTCCTCGCTCCCGGCGCATACAAAACTGGTGCTTTTGCCGCCGTCCCCCTTGTGCCAGCGCCGGCTGGCGTTCCGTTAACAGAGCTGCCGCCGGCGCTATCCTCGTCATTGACCGCGTTCTGGCTCCTGACCAGGAGTACCAGGTAGACGGCGTAGAGCGTCGGCCAAGTGGCCGTCGCGAACACCCAGAACTTGTCCCGGAGGCTTCCGGTCAGGTCCGGGGCCAGCCACGCGAAGGAGGCCGCGGCCGTCCAGTAGACCACGTGGGGGAACGCGCGCGCGGAGAGCCGCAGGTTCCGCTCCACCGACGCCGTGAAGGACATGTAAGCGGTGTTGATCCTGGCGCGGAAGTTGCGCACCCGGCGCCGGGCGCGGGGTATGTACCGCTGCCGCACGATGAAGCGCCGCAGGAGGACGAGCGCGATGAAGAGGACGACGGCGGCGGCCTCGGCGCACAGCGTGGAGGCCGGCAGCGAAGCCTGGTACTTGCAGACGGTGATGGCCGCGGTCTGGGCGTGGGGCCATACGGCCCGCGCGAGCACCGCCAGGAACTGGAGCACGGGCGAGAGGAAGAGCGTTAGGACCGAGAACCAGGCTGACAGCGAGTGCCAGGAGGTCTCGAACGCCGCTTGGAATGCCAAGACGAACTCCTTTTCGTGTCGTCCGTGGGACGTCCGTTAGAGCGGGGAGAGGAAGGGCGCACAGAAAAAGGGGGGAGCAACCAAGGAAGTTAGACTATTGTGAGTGATGTATCGTGAAAAGAGGAAATTGCCCTCGTGAAAAGAAGAGGAAAAGGTCCTTGACAAACGTTGTTCGGGGAGTGTAGGCTTGTTTAAAGGTCCACCTCCACAACATTGGGAACAGCATCAGCAAAAGGGGACGGCCGGACGAGGCGAGCTGAGCTGCGAGGTACTGGTGGCGGTTGATCCTACCGAAAATCTAGAGCAGTGATCCTCGGCATGTGTACATTGTATACGGGATCTATCATCTGACACATACTGGTCGATGGTGGTGCCACCACGGCAACGGTGGTACAGCAGTAGTGTAGGACCTCGCTGGTACTGCTCTTGTTTGTTACGAAAATAATGGGAAGAACAATCCCTTTGTTCTTCAAGTGCAGCAGCGAAGCCGACAGCTTCGGGCGTGTTCGGGTGGTGATGGAATAGTCTAAAATACAGTCTACAGAACCAGCGTCCCCCTTCACACCGATGGCACTTCTGCCGAGAAAAGAGCATAGCAGCCGCGTTCTGAATTGGGGCAAATGCAAGCCTACCGAAAGAGAAGTAACAACACACGCATGTCCTGCATACAATGATAGGGCATTCCAACACGAACGTGCAGACAACAAGGCACGAAGACCAAGCCTCCCGACTCCCGACCCTCTGAACACGCCCAACAAGACACACAGCCTACGAGGTAGTGATGGTTGCAGTACTGGCTGCTGTTCAGTCAGAGCATTCGAAAATCTTCGAATCATCACTGGGTATCTACAGCAAGTCGTGTACATAAGAGAACTGTAGAAGTCAAACCATACTGCTGTACAATGTATGAGACCGGCAGGTAAGAGTGCCGTCGTGTACAAGGTTGTCAACCCTCTACATGCTGCTTCGTGTGAAAGACCGTCAGGCGGGAGCCGTTACTTCACCTGCAGTACTGCTGTAGAGGTGCATATTTTGAGGAAAACACTCTCCACCGCATCGTGGATGGGGCATATGCTTATGTAGCTTTCGGACATTCTGCGCGACTGCAAATGAACCATCACAGCCCCCACTGGCGTCCGTTGTGCGCAAAGCTTCGGCTTGCGGAGGGATCGGCGAACTCGCCCACAGGGACAAGGGGACAACCAACCGCCATTGTTGTGCATGTTGCAAGGTTATCAGCGTCACGCCTCGTTCAATTAGCTTAACCAGTCTACAGTACGTCTCAAGTGTTCTCCTTCTTAGAACAGTACGGTACACAGCAGTCGCCGGGCGCCTACCCATCGTATCTTTACTCTTCCAAGCAACGTCGCTCTCTCGCATGCTGTCAGTTTAGCGTACCTTGAGCGAAGGAACCTCGATCGAGAGTAGCTCTTTCACCAGCGTGCGGAGGGCGAGGAGGACCTCCGACCCCTCAATTTTTTCACAGACATCGGCACCTCCTTCGTCCACCATACCACAAAGTGTTGCCACCCCGAGCGCACTCCTCAGCCCCTCAGCTCCTCAGTGTCCTGGCAATGCAACGCGTGTGTGGTGCGGCGAAGAGGCCCATCGCATGGGATTTGACGTTTGGTAGATACCTACCGTTTCTTGACTGATCTTTGCGGCGCCCCCACAGACAGGTGATTTGGACCCGCAGCCCGACACGGCACTGCTTCGACCAGCACACGACACGAATACGTCGCCACTTAGAGCCATCATGGTGGTAGTTCAAGTGAAGCGATCCGATACAGACGTTTTTCTGGTGGAATCCACCATCACAGAGTCCAACGATGCTCTCGTTCGAAGGCTGGTGAGTCGTCGTACAATGCAAACGAAGTTCAAAGAAGGATCTCCGACACTTTGAGAGACCGCACCCGTTTCGGTCTTCACACCGCCCCAAGCTACAAGCTACAAGTAGGGCAGTTGTTGTCGACCGCCCCCAGCTTTTCATGGGAACAGGCTTGCGGTGGGATTGCTGTTATGGATCTATGGATAGCGCACTCGTTGCGTAGTTTGCAGGAAGGTGTATGTAAAGCAAAAGTAGATCCTCTCCCCCTGGGAGATCTCCGAAGCGATCCGTTATCGGTTACGCTTGGACTGTTGGGAGTTGGGAGAGCCAGACAGAGTTCCCTCGCCGGTTCGGGTTGCCACGGAGACACAGAGACATAGAGACAGTCAAGCATATGTCCAGGATAACCAGCCACAGCAGATAAAAAACCACGAGCAATTGTTTCGTGTTATTCTACCATTTGTTGAGACCATGTATTCAGAGACGTGGCCTCCTCTCACAAATGTGCTCCGTAGACTCCTGCTGTAGACTACGAAGAAAAGACTGCTGCAGCATACCGTAGACAGGAACACGCATAGATCTACTGTACGGCTGTACCATCTAACCTAATGGTAGATGACTCTCACGCAGCTTACGGCCTTCACCAGGGCATATCCGAGAGAGATGCCACTCTCATGTTACAGCGTAACTACCGCAGCTTGCAGTATTCAGCCGCTAGCACTCCGCCCACGACGTGATGCTTGTCTGTCTCCTCCTCTTCGACTGCTGTGTACAGCTAGCAGACAGCAATGCAATCTCTCCCCTCTCTCTCATACCTACACGGAACACAGACAGCGGACCGACCTTCTTCCGTAGATGAACGTAGTCGAGACTGCTGTGGCAGCTGAGTATCTGAGTTGCAGAAACAATTAAATGGTCTGATAGAGGGTACAGTAAGGCTTCTCCCAAAGAGACGTAAAGTGCAGAAGAGCTTGTCTGTCACAGCCCCGCCCATGTAAGCTCAATACAGCAGTCGGGTTTCCCCTAGAGACCTATGAGGCGGGTGGCAGGTGCAGGACGACTCAACACGCTTGGCACCAAACAGTAATCAAGACTTACAGCTCAAGACGTGTATTTTACTTCCAATACGGCAGGTGTTCGCTATAGAAGGGCGGTCAGCCTGGCACATACCTGCCCTATCGAGGGACCCCGCCTGCTGTAGTGCATACCCCCGCAACCACTGAACGAATACAGGACACCAAACTACCTTCTTCCCCATTGTTGCCCACTTATCTGACGCTGCAGGTTAAGATATGGAATACACGCCTACGGCTGATGCAGCTCGTGGAATCTGCTCGAGACATGGGCAAGTACGGGCCCTCGAAGCCACCAGCAGAACATGGTCTTGACGAGGTGAGGTGTTGCCCTCTCTCCTGCAGGGAGGGTGTCAAGGCACTCTATACACCCTCCGATGCACCCAACCACATCAGTTCAAGTCCGGTAGCTATCCAAATGCATGTTACGCCGTGTGGTCGCATCGATGTTCTCGCATGGTTTGGCTCGTTGTGTTCGTCTAAACGCTGTTGCATAGCTTCCGTCGGCTAGAGTTTTTCCCGTCTGAAAGGTCGTGCGCGACAGCTCTTGTACCAGAGGTCCCGTGTTGATTTCAACGTCAACCAAGTCGTGGTGTTGATGTGGACGTGCTGACAGGTGAAAGAGGAGTACGAAGGGGCGTCCATCGATAAAGGGCCGTACTACCACCCAGACCCAACAGGCAAGTGTGCTGATCCACGCATAAACCCCAGGCAGTAAAAGTATACTTGAAGTACGTACAATAGTAGTCGTGCGTTGACCCGACTGGTATCGCAGCGACCACCCGTCATGTTTACAGACTTGTATTTTCCTTGTGAGTGTGTGTCGAGTGCTGACGTGTCTTCACACACAACGAATCGGAAGACCGTCCTTTGCTACGTATGTTGTCACGAATCGAGCTGTTCTCTCTACAGTATTTTCCAGGCAACTTCGACAGGCATTGCTGCTCGCTTTTACCGCCACCGCGATTCGCGTCGCTGACAACGTTGCGAGACCGAGAAGGTGTTGAAAACACGCGGAACAGGTTTGCCACTGCTAAGGCTTGGAGAGGGAAGATTCCTAACTTTTCTAGCTCATTACCTCATTCCTTGTGCATACATGTGTGAGCACCCCACAACTACCCGGCAGCCGCAGGAAACTCCCCCCTCTCCAAGCTTTGTTAATGGCGGCTTTCCAGAGCATGTGCTCACATGTTTCGCTGTCTCTCGCGACGATGATGCCACATCACATATATATCAGGCAAGCGGACCGGAAACGGAGTGGGACCCCAGCTGTGCGAGACCTTGGAAGGCGTCTGTGTCGATGCGGAGGCCTTGCTGGGGAAGGAGCAAGCGCAGCGTCGGGTAGCCGTGACGCAGGAGGCGCTCGACGAAAAGATGGACAATATTCGCGGGGCTGTCACTATGGGTAAGCAAGATTGCTGACAGCTGCAATACGCGGGTGTGTTGCGAGTGTGATACGGATGCCATGGTTTTGACGTATCAGTCTATCTTCTACGTTTCATGTCGAGTTAGAGAGAGCCACGAGCGGTAAAGTGCTGATTTTTTTAGTTTTTCAAAGTCCGGTGTTCCAGAACCGTCGTTTTCGCTTTCCAGCTAAGATCGCCAAAATGAAGCGGATCAACTCAGAAACGCGTCTGGTTTAGAACATCCCAAGCTTGCATGCAAATCCTGTTTCAAATGCAGAGAGCAGTGTTACGGCGTTGCGCCAGGCACCTACGAGGTCATTCAAAACAGCTCCCTCCCACCTCCACTCCTCTGCCCTCTCCGACACGACAACAAACAACACATCGCGCAGCGTTTCCGATGGGTCTCCCGGAGTTTGATCCTGTTCGCCTCACCATCGAAGGCGGCGAGGGGCTAGAGGTGAGACACACCTGTCAAACCTCAGACCTAGCCCCCCTCACATTTTATAATCCCGCCTGGTTGTGCATAGGCTCTTATTTTAGCCAATATCTCCTTGTTGGTCAGTGCCACGTCACGTCCCCAATGATGTGCAGCCATCCTGTGCTGTGGCCCCATACGGAAGGGGTTGTCGAACCATTAGCCGATCGCTCGGTTTTGCCTTGTGTTGACGTGCGTGCGCAAGCAACCGGAATCCAGGGCAAGTAGCACCGCTGACCAAGAAAGAAATGATCATCGTTTGCCTGGGGGCAAACACTCCGTGCCCCTGAGATCGTGGGTTACCGCAGGGGACCCAAACTCTGTCCATGGGAGCATCATCAAAGAATTAACGGCCGCTCCCGTGCTCTGCCGCTTGTATGTGCAAACTCCCCCCCCCTCCCCCCTCCTCTCCCTTGCCGTCCCCTCCCGCCTGATTCCATTTACACGTGAATGACACACAGGGGACTCAGGCGGGTACCGAGATTCTGGACGAGGAGACCGCGGGGCTTTGGATGGCCGGTAAAGAGTTTCGCCGGGATCAGTTGGTGGGAGACCGTGTCGGAAAGAACGAAAAGACTCGGATCATGTGCAAGCTGCAGAAGCCCGGCTCGGGACCGCCTGGCCGAGAGCCCGGGGTCAGTGAGGACGAGCGCAAAGCAATGATGGCGTTTTACTTCAAGAGGCAGGAGGAACTCAAGAGACTGGCCGAGGTTTGTGAACGCGAGCGTGACATGAACGTATGTTTTTGTGTGTGTGTTTGGGCGTAAGCGCGACGCTAAGCATTAGTATTGGTAATTTGCAGACAACAATGGTGTACGTATCTCGGTAATGGGGTGGAGGGAATCTACTTTGAAAGTTGGGAGAAATGCCTCATGTGCTGTTGTTGGTCAAACGAAGCCAATTCTTTATGTGTTTTCGTTGTTGAACCTGTTGTGTGGCATCCAATGGTGCTCTTTTTTACATTGGTTGTACGTATGAGGGTTTGGAACAACGTGCCATTTTTGTGAGGACGCTGGGCGGGATCAAGAAGCTCACGGGGTGGGTGTTTTTCTGAGCCACTTTTGCGCCCAATCCGTGTTGGTGTTGCTTTGCGCTTGGACATGAACGACGCATGAGCTCCCAAACTCAACCTGGGCACCGTGGACGAAACGCCTCATATTCCTTTTCCTGCAGCGTTTCTGTTCCCTTCCCATAATTCACGCATCGCATCGCCTCGCATTGCACGTACCTTTGGCGCTTGGTGACATTGCCGAGAAACTCAGTGTGCACCCTCCTTGCCTTTGTACTACTACCATCCCCTTGCTTAGTATTGATTTGCTTGTGCTGTCAGCGATCCTCACGTTCGAGACGTTCCCAGCCACTTGGATGTGCTATCAGCTACTTGCGCGTTGGAGGAACATTTGTATACTTGCTATTTCACGGATAGCTCGGGCATTTCGTGCATGTGTTTTCCAAGACCAGTCTCAAAATCGCGCGATTTTACCTCTGGTGCGCTTTTGTTTTCGATCAGGCCAATGACGACGACTACCTTGCCTCTGCATGGGCGGACCCGAAACAGCTGCAGCGGTCTCTGCGAGGCACCGGCACCGTGCGGGCCCCCGGCGTTTGATGATAACCGCAAAGCGTATGGTGCAAGTCGAGAATGTCTCAAGCCACCCTCATCTTGTTGTAGTCGAAGTTTTCTCCAAGATCGTACCCGGGCGGGCTCATGTGGATCTCGGAACATGGCGATTGATGACGAGAATCGTGCAAACAGAGGAGGATTGCTTCATTCTCCAAACAGCACAGCTTGCTATCAGAGCATGGTGTGACCGGACTTGCCGCGCGTGTGTGTATCTCACTGCTGTACATCAAACCAAGTTGGTGAATCAATTTATTGAATGATCTTTTGTCTCCGTGTTTGTGGGTGGCTTCGTTCCACTCTTTGTGCTGTTTGCACGGTCTGCCAGGATCAACTTTCTTTCTTGCAAGGTGCGCGTGCCTTGGCACGTTTGGCTATTTACTCCAAGCCTCTCTCAGATTTCGGCCACCACACCTGATAGAGTGACGCTTAAACGTCTCGCACCAACGTATGTTGGCCTCGGTGTTTCGCTCCAACTGACTGTTTGCGAGATTTGATTCAACGTGGCTAGGGAGAGTCGGCATTATCAGGTTCTATGATACAGGATGTGAAAAATATTAGGCGTCGGCGGCGGAGGGGCAGACCGTCGTACTCACGCTGATTTTTTATTGATTGAGCTGAGAAGGGATTTTCTCTTTCCAAGTGGACGGGGAGGCTGAGCTCCTTCGCCCCCCTACGGCGTTCTAGAAAGATGTATTTAGCCATCTACGTTTGTTGGTGTTTTTAAGCGTGGAATCGACTGGTAGCACTTGGTTGCAACAAGCGGTCTTCATCTGTCGTTGTTCCGCTTGCTAGTCTAGTCTAGAGGTCTCAGGCATGCTAAACCTTCCAGTTGGCAGTCCTTCATGACGTGATGCAACATCGGCTTGAGCTTGTGCTCTTTCAGAAAATTTCTGGCTACAGCCCAACGATAGGGAAGCTTCGGTCCATCGATCAAACAGCAACTGTAAAGGAATGGTTGGCCGCGTGATCAACTAGGAGATGTTAGCACCATACCTCCGTATCTGTGGGAGCAATGACACGGTTTGGGGCACCACAGACAGATTAATCGTTTGTTCCTGAACGGGAAGCGAATAAGACCTGGTGTTCGAAACGTCTGTTGCATGCATGCCGAATCATCGTGGGCACATCTATATTCTGTATTGCTCTCGTGGCGTGCAGGCCACGAAACGTTGTGGAGCTCCGACTGACGTGGTCATCTTTGATGGGACGGCAGTGCAAAACATACCCAGGCGGGGTATCCCTGTCACGTGTTGTTATTATTTTTCAGCGTCCAACGAGGGCGAACAAGCGCTCCCTACTGCTAGTGCGCGCATGTGGCACGCTGCGCTATTGCCCATCGTCCCGTGCGACCCATTCACCTCACTCGCGCATCGCAAATATGACATTCAATACTCCCTGCCACACTCGAAAAAAATATCATGCTACTGTACTCGAAGTATATGATTCTAGCCCGCTGCGGGGTATATCTGTGTGCCTGTAGATTACAGCGATTGCAACGACGCCATCTACCTAAGATCTACAATCTCGCTTTTGGGCACCCTCCCCCCACGCTCCCAATTTCCCTCTACGCGGTTTCGAATGCTTAGTTCCACTTACAGAAGTGGATGCAACACTGCGCTCCTAGAGTTTGGTACTGAACTCCGAATCCTTTCAACATACTTGTATGGTAAAATATTACATCTCTACATAGACTACGCATAATAAAATAGGCGTACACTCTGTACGTGGGGGCATGACCTTAACGAAGTGCAACTCCGGAACATTGCACGTGTAGGCATAGCGCGGGCACGGCGCCCTGTGCTGACGTAAAGTTTCCCCGATAACCATGGACAACATGTTTTTCGATAAACTACACCTTGACTGCACGCGAACCAACAACATAAATTGATGAAATTGAAAATACACAGGCACCCACGCGAACCGAACAACTCGCATTTGATACATTTGAGAGTAAACACAGGCACCCACGCAAACCGAACAATACAAATTGATACATTTGAGAATAAACAGGCAAGCCACAGCGACGAACACCGTGTAAAGAAGACATGGTGGCCCCTTCGCATTGCCTTGAAATGGTCTTGCCAACTACATACAGTAGGTTCACGTCGTCATTGTCCACACTAACCTCACGAATCCCACTCCCCTTTGAACCGCGCTAGATTCAACCTGCTTGCTACAGAGTCCGGCTTTCTCGTCAATCGAAAGCAGTCAATATTGTCCCACGCTCACAGTTCCAGTCGGCGTCGCTCGTGTACAATCGCGTACACTCTCTCGCCACAACTGTTTTGGGGGCTGGGTATTGCTTCTGCATGATTCGCCCCGCGGATTCACTCGCCCATAGTGAGTTCGTGAGCGCTTGGTTCGTGGTGCAACAGTCGCATAGCTTGCCCCCAAACCCGTCACGACGAAGCGCGCAACCAAGGAAACCTTCGCTGTTATCGCAAGGATACGATCGTTATTCCGTTGATGTTGTACACGCATGAAGCAAGAAAAAGCGAATATACAAAGGAACAGCGCATGCGTGGACGGTATCATCAGCACATTATACATATTGATCACGTAGAAAGCAATATAGGCAGCTTGTTCCGGGCGCAGCCGGCGAGCAAACACCAAGTGGTGCATACGGCGGCCGCATTATGAACGAACAGCAAAAACTCTGCAGGAACCTCTGGTGCAACTAACTTTGGGTTCACCATTGTAGCACAATTAATTGCGTTGAGCAACCTCCCACTCCCAATACAACGTTGAAGCAATATGAGTGCCAAGGAATCGCCGAAAAAAATCTGTCTTCGGTAGGTCCGGCATAGAACAACACGCCCGCTGGGGCTCTCAAGGGCCCGCTTCAGGCCTGCGTCCTTGCGAGATATGATAGTGGGTAGTTCACTGAAAACCAAGGCCTCTTCGCCAATAGACTAGCCCGACGGAGAAGGAGCAAACACGATAATTCACATTGGCCACACTCAGCAAATGCTAGTGGCTGTATCCCGCTCAGCACGCAACCCCGGCTAGTATCGAGTGACTTTTAACCACTCACCCAGGAGCGGGAGTATATATTACAGCTTGCCGACCGGTACATCAGAAGTAGCATTTCGCAAGCTCAGCCCTCACCGCCTTTGCAACCTCCTCAGACTGCGACAACGAAACCGTGCTCGCTTCGATGGGCTTGACGGGGGTTCCCAGTGTTGTTGGTGGTATCGAAGCCGTTGATAACGTTGCGGTACGGACGGTTGTCGATGACGCTGAGGAATAGCAGGTGCTACTATTAGCTACCCGTGCCACGAACTTCGGGTAAACTTCATGACGAAGTATGACGAAGATCTGTGTTTCGAGTGTAGTTGGGGAAGTCAAAATACTCAAGTCAGCGGGCAGGAGGAAGAAAGGGGTTTGTAGAATCGAGATGGGCGTGCGAAGCAACGCTTTCCGAGGTTTACGGGACGCAATGGGATCCTATCGGGTCTCGTCGGACAAGGGGAAGTGTATCGTACCGTCCTGCGGTATAGCAGATACTGTATAGTCGAGCAAGCTGCTGGGTAAATAGAAGACGTGTGCAAGATGTTCACGAGAAGTAACTAACAGTAACCGTGCAGTGGGTGCCACTACATGAGAACTTGGTACGGCGAAAGAGCATTTATTATCGATTGCACGAACACCGGCAACCAGACCGGCCTGAAGGTGTGCACTCGCCTCAAGGAGTGCCGAGTCGAAGATTGTTCGGTCGCCATAGCCACCCCCGGGCCCTATCCCGAGCCCCAGCATTTCAATTTCTACGCTCGCATTGAAGTCGTCCTCCGCCGCGAGGTCGGCGCTATGCAAACAGCGATCGTCCCACATGGTGGAATCCCGTCGTAGCCTAATTTCTTCCTCCGTGTCACCGTCTTGCTCTCCGTCCCTGCTGCTGCTGCTGTTGTTGCTGCTGCTGATCTCCTTGGATGAGGGTGAATCTGACCGACACTTGCCCAGTACCGTGAATCTTCCGGCGGAAGCGGCATTGTCAGCGGCGTCTCTCTCTCTTTCTCCCTCGACAGCAGCCGGGGTCACACTCTCTGTCGCAGGACTGCTGCTGCTGCTGCTGTTGCTGTTGCCGCTGACGATGACCTTGTGGGTCGGCGATTGGGTTGGAAATGGGCCGAGTAGAGGGAGTGAACCGGGAGCTTGCGAGCCCTCCTGGCCCTCGTCAGCTATGACTGCTTCTGCAACACGTGCCCCTGCTTCTTCACCGTCCGCATGACCTAATTTTGGTGCTGTTGCGACATCGAGATCCTCCACTCCGACTGTTTTTTCTGCTTCTGTTGCTGCTGCGGCTTCCTTAAGGGGTCCGCCGCCCCCTGCCTCGCCCCCTAATGCTGCCGGTGTCGCTGCTGCTGGTGTTGCGGCTTCAAAGCATCCGCCCGCCCCCGCTTCGACCCCTTCGTCTGCCGCCCTTATTGCGGCTCCAACAGAGCACGCGCCCCCTTCTGCTTCGACTACGTTAGTCTCCGCTGGCTGTCTCTCTACCTCGTCGCCTGCAGCCCGCAGCTCGACATCGCCGGGAGCGCCGGTGCTGCCACCGCTGCTGCGGCCGTCTGCACTCAAAATAGCTTCCACGGTGGCCATCGTGTTCGAGCGTATTTGACCGCTGATGTTTACCTCCCTCTTGCTGTTGTGCTGGATGTAAAGCTCGTGGATCCTCTTGATGGTTGTGAGGTACTCGCACCGCCCGCCGCCACCCGTTTTAAACGAGACCACCTCAAGGTAAAACAGAACATTCTCTTCCATCAGCTGTTCGAAGGGAACCAACCGGTTGACACCAGACGACGGCAGCAATAGCGAACAACAGGACACCCGCACGGGAAGCAGAACGTAAGCCCCTCCAGTTTATCGCAGTCAGCGCCTCCAAAATTTCCTTCTCTAAACCGTGAAATTTTCAGATAAAAAAGAGTTTCGGCAACGTTCAACTGGGGGATGGTAGCTTTGCAAGTCCTGCAAATCTATCACACTGACGAACACAGTTGAACCATTTCAAAGCAATGCTGTCGTTCAAAATGTTGTGGACGTGCATCCACAGAGTACCAAACGCTGGC